TCTTTGTTTTATTTTATTTTAGAAGGGTCTACAGGGTGTTCAAGGTCTCACTACTAGATCAGACTTGTAGTAATCTGCCTGTTTACAGCCTCCCAAGAGCTGGGACTACACACCCAGTCTCTCACCTTATTTTTATTATTATTTTTTTTTAACACTACATAGTCGATAGGATTCACTGGCAGGCTGGATGTGGATCAATAGAAAGAAGGCCAAGAACGATGTTAAGGTTTTTGCCACTAGTAGCTGAAAACAGGATTGCTGGGTGTCCAGTGAAAAGTAGACTTTGCAGAGAAAGCGAGGCACCTCACTTGGGGCATGCTGCCGCTTGAGAGGCCTTTTGAGGTCTAATCAAATGAAGATAGAAATAGTCACCTGCACACCTCTTTGTTTTGAGGGAGAAATCCATGCCTGCGAGAAAGATAGTTAATATTGAAAGCCATGAGACAGTGAGTGCAACCAAGACATGACTGTAGAGAAGCTGAGGACAAAAGGAAGCTCAGTGCAGGGCTGAGCCCAGGGGCCTTCCAACAGCGATGACCATAGAGCACCTTGGCACCAGTTCCACTGTCCCAGGCGCTCGCTCACCCCTCATATAGATGCTTCGGGGTGAGCATGCTCCACCTGACTCAGTGAAGGGGACTGTGCTCCTTCCCGTCTGTCCAAGAACACTCCGGTGCACAAGTGCTAGGACATCTGATATCCTAGTATTTTTTCCTCCAATGTCTTGGTTAACTTTGTGTCATTACTGGGACAAAATAAATACCTGACACCAAAAAGGAAGGAAGGAAAGGTTTATTTAGCTCTCTGTTTGGGGAGGGCTTAGTCCATACTCAGCTGGCTCCAGGGCAGAGTGACACATAGCAGAGGGCAGCAGTTCATGGCAGCAGAAAACAGCAAGCAGCAAGAGAAAGGGGGAGGAACAGTGGCAGAGAGTAAGCCTTTCTCTCCTCCTTGTATTGTATTCAGCGTATCCACCCCAGGGTGGGTGTAGCACTCACGCTCATAATCCCAAGGAGAACTCACAGCCGTAATCCCAGCATTGGATTTTGAATTAATCACAAACTCTACAAGCCTGCCCCATGACTGCATGAGGCTTTGAGTGGATGACTAGACACAAACCATAACATCCACCCAACTAAGTTATACCCCTTGGCATCATCCTTTATCTTCTCTTCCCCATTTAATTAGCCTTTTGCTTCTATCCACATGAAGCTTTACTTCTAGAGCTTTCTAAACCCTCCCCTTGGACACTGATCACTGCCTCATGGGATTTCCTGCCAGGGGTCTCCAACCCATTCCCTCCTAAAGATAAAGCTGATCGTGTTGCCTTCCTACTTAGCCCTTCCATTAATTCGCCACAAACTATAATCTGGCTTCCTTAGCTGTGTTTATTAGCTTCATACTCATCTGCAACTCAGCTTCACGAACTGTCGCTTCTTCTTTTGTGCCTTGTGGTTAAACCACCCAATGCAGTATGGAAAAGAAGACAGAAGGAGCCCAGGAACCAGGTATGATGCTTGCTGTGGGCTTGGATTAGATGCTGCCTATCAGATAAAGGAAGTTGTCTTTTTTTTGGTACAAGGAATCAATCTCAGGACCTTGTGCTTGCCAGGTGGGTGCTGTGCCACTGAGCTATATCCCTGGCCCAGGGAGTTGAATTTTATCAACTATTTTTTATGAATCTATTTGGCCTCATAATTTCTCTACTTTAGTGAACCACAGATTAATTTTCCGCTTTTAAATTAACCTTGTATTTTCCTGGATAAACCCAACTCAGTCTGTGTGTGTGTGTGTGTGTGTGTGTGCGCGCGCGCACATCTCACAACGCAGCTCAGACTCCTAGTGATCCTCCTGATTTCTGCCTCCCTAGCGCTGGGATTATGGGTGTGTGCCACCATGCCCAGACTCCATTGCCTGCTCAGCCCACCCAGGGGCAGGGCCTGGCGGGGCATGCGGCAGTCTTCATGTATTATTCTTTTAAAAATATGTGTATTTTTAGATTCAATTTGCTAATATTTTGTTTAGCCTATGACCCTATTTGTGCAGTTGTATACATGAAGCATCCTATGGGGAGATGATCAAAAACTACTTGATAGGAGCAAAATTTGATTTCCACTTCTGGAAGGGATTAGGGTTGCTGCACAAGTGGCAGGGAGTAGGGCGGAGGGGATGTCTGAAGGTGTATCTTATGGTCGCAAAATGAACATTTTCTTACCGAAAACAAAATTCCATGCTACTCAGTACAAAATCTGAACTAGATCTTATTGCTAGAATTCAAATATTTTAATAGCAGTGAAATATAAGCCTATGTTTAACCTATACATGTTCAGTTTGCTAGTTTAAGCTGATAATGAATTGAGAGAGTGAGCGAGAGAGAGAGAGCGAGAGAGAGAGAGAGCGAGTGAGAGATCCCACTGAGTTCTCCCAACACCCTTCAGAGAGCGTTTCTACATCATTTCCATGTGTGATGTTATCTCTGGGGCTTTCATTAGGCCAAGATTGATGAGGATGTTCTTTTCCAGTTCCAAATAACTCTCATAATCCAGTTTTAATTCCGCTTCAATCTGTTCCTTTGACTTCTGGTATGTTTTCTAGGGAAACAAAGAAGACATTATTGTAAGTTACTGATAGCTAAAATTACCAAAAAGTGAGATGGGGAGGAGTGTTTTTGGTACCAGGGATCAAACTCAGGACCTTGCACTTGCCAGACAGGCACATACGCCACCGAGCTATCTCCCTGGCCAGAAGGGGCTATTTTTGAACACTTGAAATAGCTGCTGCTATCTAGGATAGGAGGGCAGTCTGATGCATTGGGGAGTTGGACAGCAGAAAATTATTGATCCTCCAGTAAGTCTCCCCAAAACAAAAAGAAAAATCCCTCTTGTACACTTCTTTCCCATAACGCTCGCCCTCCTTACGTGGCTGGAGGTTGAGTCGTGGCCTAGAGGTTGCAGAATTGCCTGAGTCCCATGCAGATGGGTGTAGCTTGTTTAGCACATGGAAATTACTACTTTCCTCAGCTTTGGTTCTCCAGCTGAAATTTCAGTTAGAACGTTTCCTGTTTCATATGCTATTAGAACTGTAATTACTGTCATCCTCCAAGAAGCGAGCTGCACCCAGGATCTATGGTTGCAAGGTGACAGGTGTTTGATCCCATGGTGCTGGGCGGGAGCTTTATGCCTGGCATCCGGCAGGTATTCATGGAGACTAGCCCGGCCATGTGACCCTCCTCTCCCTTTGCAATAACGCTAACAGTGAAAACCAACTAGCACTGTCTATATGCCAAACACTGGCTAAGTGCTATGAATATTTTAACTCATTTAATCCCATGGTGATCCTCTGAGGTTCTTAAGTATCATTCTCTTTTCCAATTAATGTTAATTGTTTTTCCTTAGTGACCTTTTACATATTCCAAGTCTAACAGAGAGGCCTTTTAAATTAATTCACTTATCCATGATCTAGTTCCAGAGAAAATTTGAGAAGTAGTGGCTTGACTTAAAAGAAGGTACTGTCAAGTGGAAATGACCTTCCAAGAATTCAGATGAGTTTTGGAAACTAGAAAGCATGATGCAGTTTTAAAATATGATTTAACGCAATGTTCAGGCATTTAAAAGTATTTCACATGCAAGTTTTTTGGGATAGACACAATTCTGCATGCTTCAACTGATGTAGATAGCTAGGAATTGTTGCTATGGTACTTAAACACTTATAAAAACTGCGGATAAATGCTGGCATAGGACAAGAATGACAGATTACCTCTTGCCACAGAATTTTAACTAATGTTTGTAAGTTGCAAAAGGACAAATCCAAGACCAATCTGGTTGTAGCAGTGGAATGCAATGAGAAGCTAATTAATTGGATTCTTTTATACTTTGTCACCCCTAAACAGTGTTTTTGAGGTGAGTCCCATTGCTTTTATTGAACTATAATAAATGATAATGTCAATATTATTTGCTAGTGCTACAATATTTCCACATACTGGTGCTTTTAATGAAGACATGAGGTCCCATATGAGTAATTATGTTAGAAGATGCTCTGGATTTGGCTGCAGGGAGACTACAGCTGGGATCAATGATGAAATTATTGGCAACAAAAGGGCAAGAGAGGGGATGAGCAAAAAAGGGGAAATGTAAAATGAGATGATGTCAAGTGAGAAAGACAGAAGACCTGAATCCTCAGAATACCTAAAAGCCCCAAATTTCTCTTCTGCAGGGTTAACAACTTAAGTTTGCAGACCAAAAATTAGAGAAAAAGAAGGGCTGCAAGGATATCCAACATTTTGGCCCTAGCCTTTCAAGATCAGTGA